TTCTTTTCTGCTAACTACCAGAGTGTTCTTCCTGAATACATTTCATTCAGATACTGAATAGATAATAGTTTTTGAAACTATCATTATTTTTTCCTATCCCTGCTATTGTTGGTGCTTCTATGGCTGAAACATTCAAATGCCTGAAATAGCCACCTACTCATATATTACTAATTAAGGAATTTCTATCTGAGTTTTTGAAATTTTGAATTTGGAGTTATGTAAAATCACCAAAAGCTATCTTCCATATGTCCACAAAGCACACAAGTGTCTCCAAAAGAACTGCTAGTTCTCCCACACATGAGGAAATGTTTAATTAGGGCAAATATCAAGAAGTGATCACAAACAAGAATGAGATTCCTAACTCATAGTTTTGGGAAGATCAATCATTTTCTGAGGTTTGAAGACTGCAGCATAGTAGCATCTTAACACTCAAGTGAGATGTTTGATTCCAGAAAGCTTCTGAGTTTTAGAAAGGAAGTGTGATAAGGGTTTAGCTTAAAGTAGATTGGTACCAGTTTTTATTATCTAACATTATGGGAACGTTAATTTTAGGGAATAAATGAAACTTTGGTTACCTCTCTCTAGCATTCTCCAATGTCCCTGTATCAGGGGAAATTCAGCCCCCGATATTTCATGTGGGTCCTTTTCTATTTTCCCTGAGTGTCAGCTGGTCTGAGAAATAAAGGGAAAGATTACAAAAGAGAGAAATTTTAAAGCTGGGTGTCCAGGGGAGACATCACATTTCTACAGTTTCCATGATGTCCCCCATGCCGCAAAACCAGCAAGGTTTATTAGTGATTTTCAAAAGCGGAGGGAGTGTACAAATAGGGTATGGGTCACAGAGATCACATGCTTCACAAGGTAATAAAATATCACAAGGCAAATAGGGGCAGGGCGAGGTCACAAGACTAGGGCGAAATTAAAATTGCTAATAAAGTTTCCGGCACGGATTGTCATTGATAACATCTTATCAGGAGATAGGGTTTGAGAGCAGACAACCGGTCTGATCAAAATTTATTAGGCAAGAATTTCCTCATCCTAATAGGCCTGGGAGCACTACAGGAGACCAGGGCTTATTTCATCCCTTATCTGCAACTGTAAAAGGCAAATGTTCCCAAAGCGGCCATTTCAGAAGCCTCTCCTTAGGAACGCATTCTCTTTCTCAGGGATGTTCCTTGCTGAGAAAAAGAACTTAGAGATATTTCTCCCATTTCCTTTTGAAAGAAGAGAAATATGGCTCTGTTCTGCCTGCCCTACAGCAGCCAGACTTTAAGGTTATCTCCCTCGTTTCCTGAAAATCGCTGTTATCCTATTCTTAAGGTGCCCAGATTTCATGTTCAAATACACATGCTCTACAATTTGTGCAGTTAATGCAATCGTCACAGGGTCCTGAGGTGACATTCATACTCAGCTTACGAAGATGATGGGATTAATAGATTAAAGTAAAGACAGGCATAGGAAATTACAAGATTATTGATTGGGGAAGTGATAAGTGTCCATGAAATCTTCACAATTTATGTTCTTCTGACATGGCTTCAGCCCATCCCTCTGTTTGGGGTCCCTGACTTCCTGCAACATCCCTGTGTACTATAAGAGTCATTAAGGGGAGTAAATACAGCTACTGCATTCTGAAGCCAAAGAAAGATCCTTATTGCTGGATTACTAGTTGTTGGCATCTCATAGAAGGTCCAGTTTCATGTTAACAGGTGTGTGTATGTACAGTCATGTGTTGCTGAACAACAGTGATACTCTCTGAGAAATGCATTGGCGATTTTGCCATTCTGTAAACATCATAAAGTGAACTTACACAAACCTAGGTGGCACAGCCTACTACAAACCTAGGCTATATGGTATGGCCTGTTGCTCCATGGCTACACATCTGTACAACATGTTCCTGTACTGAAACTGTAGGCAATTGTAACACAATGGTAAGTATTTGTGAATCTAAACATATCCAAACAGAAAAGATGCAGTAAAAATACTGTACAACAGATACAAAAAGGTGCATGTGTATAGGGCACTTACCATGAATGGAGCTTGCAGGACTGGAAGCTGCTCTAGGTGAGTGATGAGTGAATGTGAAGGCCTAGGACATTACTGCACACTACTGTAGAATTTGCAAACACTGTACACTCATGTTACACTCAATTTATTGAAGAAAATTCTTTTTTCAATAATAAATTACCCTTATTATTGTAATATTTTACTTTATACACTTTTTTTAATTTTTTTTTTTTGAGACGGAGTCTCGCTCTGTCACCCAGGATGGAGTGCAGTGGCCAGATCTCAGCTCACTGCAAGGTCCGCCTCCCGGGTTCACGCCATTCTCCGGCCTCAGCCTCCCGAGTAGCTGGGACTACAGGCGCCCGCCACCTCGCCTGGCTAGTTTTTTGTATTTTTTAGTAGAGACGGGGTTTCACCATGTTAGCCAGGATGGTCTCGATCTCCTGACCTCGTGATCCGCCCATCTCGGCCTCCCAAAGTGCTGGGATTACAGGCTTGAGCCACCGTGCCTGGCCCATATACACTTTTAATTTAAAAAGTTTGACTTGTAATAACACTTACATAAAAACACAAACACATTGTAGAGCTATACAAAACTACTTTATCTTCTTATTCTAACAGCTTTTTACAGTTTTAAAGTTTAAAATTTTTTTTAACTTCTTAAGCTTTTTTGTTAAAAACTGAGGCACAAACACACACACATTATGCTAGGCCTACATAAGGTCAGGGTATCACTGTCTTCCACCTCTACATCTTGTCCCACTGGAAGGTCTTCAGGGTCAATAACATGCAGGGAGCTATCACTTCCTATGATAACAATGCTTCTTCTGGAATACCTCCTGAAGAACTGCCTGAGAATGTTCTACACTTAACTTTTTGTGTTTCCAGGAAGGAGTACACTCTAAAATAATGTTTAAAAAGTGTAGGCCACGTGCGGTGGCTCAAGCCTGTAATCCCAGCACTTTGGGAGGCCGAGGTGGGTGGATCACGAGGTCAGGAGATCGAGACCATCCTGGCTAAGACAGTGAAAACCCATCTCTACTAAAAATAAAAAAAAATTAGCCGGGCGTGGTGGCAGGTGCCTGTAGTCCCAGCTACTAGGGAGGCTGAGGCAGGAGAATGGCGTGAACCCAGGAGGCGGAGATTGCAGTGAGCCGAGATCACATCACTGCACTCCAGCCTGGGCGACAGAGCGAGACTCCGTCTCAAAAAAATAAAAATAAAAATAAAAGTGTAGTATAGTAAATATATAAACCAGTAATATAGTTGTTTCTTATCATTATCAAGTATTATATACTATACATAATTGTATGTGCTAGACTTTATCAACTGGCAGCACCAGCATCACCACATACCCATGAGTAACACGTCATTGTCCTATGATGTCTGGACAGCTATAAAGTCACTGGGCAACAGGGTAATTTCAGCTCCATTACAAACTTATGGAACCTCTGTGGACTATGCAGTTTGTCATTGGCTGAAACATCGTTCTGCAGCACATGACTCTGTGTGTGTGTGTGTGTGTGTGTGTGTTTGTGTGTGTGTGTGTAATTCTGCTGGCCCACATACTTACAGTCAAACTAGTTTTAAATAGCAGTATCCTTTTCAATTGCTTAGGGATCCCATCTGATTAACTGGTGTCATTGCTGAATCAGTGGTTAAATAACTCAGTTGTTAGCTATTTTAACTTGTATATGTGTATGTACATGAGGTAAGATGAAAAGATAAATGGGTGGGAAAGCCACCTGTTGCATGGATGTATTTGGTTTAGTCAAACTATACATAGCTTCACATAAGTGGTTTCTAAGCAATGAATGAATTTTTAAAAATATTCAGACCTTGACATTAAAAATAACCAGGTCTGTAGACCTCTGTTATATTGTCTCCCTTAAAAGAATGTTGAATTAATTTTAATTTTCTAACTGGCATGACTCATAGCTTAATTGTTTTAATTTATCATAAAGACAAAGCAAAAGTTTTAATCAGAAATATAATTTAATTATTACAAATGTAATGGTTGGTCAATTACTAGTGGCCATTTTTCTTTCTTTCTTTTTTTTCTTTTAGCCTCATAAATAGTCATCTGGCATTAAATATTTGTGATCTAGGCCAGTAACCTTTTTCAATCTCACAGGACCTTTTTTAATTAAACTATATCTTTGTCCCATGTCTGTAATCCTCTCACTGACATTTTATATACAAGACACCTTGCTGAAAAAAGGTCAAGCAGTACAGTTATAAATGGAAAAGAGATTAAAAGAATTCTCAAGCCATGGTGTGATCTAAGAGCAAGTTAAATATGGAGCAAGTCTTAGTAGACATGCTCAGTAGACAAGGAGGAATCCTCTGGGTAGATTTTAATGATTGGGGTAGGAAAGCAAATGAAAATTATTTTCATGGCAAAAATAAAAAAAAAAAATGCACGATTTTTCATAGACCACAGTAATTACTGTAAAAGACCACCATAAGGTTTTAGTAGCCATAAAATGTTCAGGAAAACAATTGCAAAATACATTCATGGTGTTTGTATAATTCTTGCCTACAAAGACATTTTTGTTGCTCCACTAAACCTGGCAAATGTCAGTCTAGTGTTAAGGTTAATTAACTCTAGAAGTTAAAAAAACAAAAAGAAAGAAAGAAAAGTTGAAATGTATATGCATCAATGAAGAATAAGAACAAAATTCCAAAACTGAGTAAAGAAGTGGGAGTAAGCAAATGCCACATTACTGAAAATTCTATTTTTACCTATATATTTAATAGTAGTTATTGTGTTGAAAAGTAAATACATTTACAGAAGTGAGTTACATTATTTTCACCAGAACATTAAGCAGAAATTGAAAACGGATTTTCCCCCCTTAATATTCTCCAGCTGGCATGTTATGACTAAAACTTGCTGAATCCATGCCACACTGTGATGCATTTAATGGTGTACATGGGTACAACTAAACAATACATTACTTGTAATGTCTGAAATAACCCAGCAAAGCATGGTACTCAAGTGTTGAAATACTACTGTCTGCTTCTCAAAGGTTGCTTAGTTATACCCAAGAGGCCAACCTTCTCTGAAAAGCCTTAACTGCTAATTTCTTTCTGTCACTTTTATATGGTCCAGTCATAAAAAGGTACTCTTTTGTTCCTATGTCATCAGAATGGCGTTATTTAGATGTTAATGCAAGAGGCAAAGCAGTTTACACAGGAGCTTTAATCATAGGACTTGATTAGTGCTTTTAGGGTTCTTAGCGTTTTGTTTATAAACAGTATATTTGGTTCAGTCAAACATCTCTTAATTTCTTAAAAAAGAAAAGAGGCTAAAAAATACAATAAACTGAAACTAGAGCTTCAACTCTGACTTAAGCTGAACCTCTGCGGGTGTCTCCCAGGCTTTTGGGTTTCTGGGTGGAAACTTTGCCGGTGTTAAATGGAAAGGTTACTGTTTGTATCCTTTAGCTATTATAAGACTGCTGGCAGGGACAGAACTGTCAGGATCCAGCAGGCCATTCCGTGTCCAAAGTAACTGGATGCTGTGTTTCAGAAATGTGATAGTTGACAGACTGACATTATGACGCTTGTAACCCAGCCTGTGTCCCAAGCTTCAAATCAGTTATCAATCCAAACAATAAGAACAGTTTCTAGGCATAAAAACCTGGAGGTTGTTTTGCTTGTACATTTGCTTAGTGGAAAAATGTTTTATCTTAGTAATGTGGGTTATGTTTCTAAAAATCAGGCAACTTAAACCAGTTCATTGAATTCACCTGGTTATTTTCAGCATGTTCTACTGGAATTCAGCCTTTTTTCTTTTCAAATGATTTGCTCCTCTAGATATAATTGTAAACCTTAACCAGTTGCAAAGACAGAAAAATTCAATTAATAAAGTAGTTGCTTTACCTGAATGAACACTTTCAACCAATTTTCTGAACTGACAGAAATGAATCTTTTGCCATTGGTCATGTTTGGCTATTGGCATGAAAACTATGTTAACTTTTGTCTGAAATAAGTCAAAATGAACCTAGGCAGTCAAGACAAATTGAGTATTTGATAAACGATTTTTGTTCAGTTTACTTTCTTAACAGGTTAGCCTGTAAAACAGTCAAAAATAACTTAGTAGGAGATAAATTATGAAAAATAATCTATTGAATTATATTCTATGCAAAGCACTTCTTTTCAATACCTCATTATTACTGTTGTTGTCATTGTTGGCAGGTTGACGCTCAGGAAACTAAGATTTGAGAGAGGTTATATAATTTTCCTAAGGTCATAAAAATAGTAAGTTGGTTTATGTCCAAACTCGTGTTTTCCTACTTACAGTACTCTCCTCCATTTAATAAACTGTCTGCACTGTCATCAAGAATAACAATATTAAAATATAAATTTATGATTTATGAACTTCCCATGTATATCATTTTACCTAGCTATAACAGACAAGGCTTTTAGTTTTATTTCATCCATAGACCAATAAAGTAAACAATTGAGAATATCAAATATTGGCATATGTTAAAATTGTATTCGAGGAGTTGTGTTTAAAAAGAAAAGCATGTATATTGTATTCTAATGCATGGGCTTATATATAGGAAACATAATTTAAAAGTATAAATTCAGAATGCCTATCTAATGAGTTATCATTGAGAGTATTTCCTTCTGCTTCATAAAAGCTGTAATTTTCCACAACTCTGAAGATATTCAGCAAAGTATATTCACTACCAGAAAAAGAACAAAATGTTTGTGATGTGGTAAATACACTAGGAGTTTGCTAGATGGTGCTGCAACATATATTTGTAAAACTCTACTAAACGTGTCTGAATAGGAAATTTTCTTGCAATTAGAAATATTCAGACCTATATAGATATTTAAAGTTGTCTTATTATGATATCAGATTTGCTGTTAGATTTCAATCTTCATTTTCATTTAATTTGCCCTATATTTAACGAATTCATTTTTGTTATTATAGGCTATTTTAACATATCCTAGGCACAATAAGCCACTGCAGAATAGCAAAGTTCAATTTCTTATATTACATTTCTTGCAATAAAGACTTTTTCCAGCTATACTAGTAGTACCTGAGCATAATCCAAAATAAAATGATTTTATTTTAAATGTGCTAATAATTCAGTATAAACCAAAACTACTTTAGAGTCCTTACTAATCTGAAGCATAAAGCTATCTCTTATTTATGGCATTTGAAAATCTTAAATACATGTATGTTAATTAAATAGATTTAAAGCAACATAAAAAGAAGTGTTTCATTGTTTTTAAAACTTTATTTTTAAAATCTCAACAATATCAGAACTATGACTATTAACCTTAATTGTGCATGTGTGCCGTCCAACCTACATGCTAGACGATCTCCTGCATAATTAAGTCTCAGTACTAGAGAAGTAGTGGCTATGTACAAAAAAAGGATGTATTAATACCCTCATTTCAAAAGGCTTCAGAGAGAGTGTGCCTTTCTTGCTCTTCCATCTTCTATCTTTGAGGATACAGCAACAAGTCGCCATCTTGGAAGTAGGGAAACGGGCCCTCCGCAGACATAAAATTTGATCCAGGACTTCTAGCCGTCAGTACTGTGAGAAACATATTTCCATTGATTATAAATTACACAGTCTGTGGTATTTTGTTATAACAGCAAAAAGTGGACTAAAACACCCGTGCTATAAGAAAGTTGGTTTCGCTTCATTGATATGAGAAAAAGTAGATTTTAAAGCAAAAATAGATACTAAAGATAAATAGGGTATTTCCTAATGTTATCTTCTACCATGAAGGGAAAATTATTCTAAATTTGTATGCACTTGATAATAGTTTCAAAACTATAAATAAGAAAGCTACATAAATCAAAAGCACTAAAATCTACAGTCAAGTTACAAGAAAATTCTCACACTTTCCTCAGTAATTGAAATAATATGTAGATAAATCATGACTAATTGTAATAAGCAAACTTGGCCATAATGAACATATAGAGAACACTGAATACAATTGCAGAATATTTTTGAGTGCGTAGAAATCATTTAACAAAATTTACCTTATTCTGAAATGTATCAATTCTCTAACAAACTAAGATTGAAATCGCACAGTGAAATAAAGTTAAATATCAATAACAAATACATAAAAGGCAACTAGAGGCCGGGCGCGGTGGCTCACGCCTGTAATTCCAGCACTTTGGGAGGCCGAGGGGGGTGGATCACAAAGTCAGGAGTTCAAGACCAGCCTGGTCAACATGGTAAAACTCTGTCTCTACTGTAAAAAGAATACAAAAATTAGCCTAGGGTAGTGGTGCGTGTCTGTAGTCCCAGCTACTCTGGAGGCTGAGTCAGGATACTTGCTTGAACCCGGGAGAGAGAGGTTGCAGTGAGCTGAGATTGCACCACTGCACTCCAGACTGGGTGACAGAGCAAGAAAAAAAAAAAGGCAACTAGAAGTGTATCCGAATGTTTGGATATTAAGCAATTATTTCTAGATAATCACTGGATAAAAGAAATCACAAGAAAGGTTAGAAAATATTTTGACTGGATAATAAACCAAACATCTATCACATCTTATGGAGTGTCTCTAAAATGATAATTTGAATGTATTTATGCCAATAAACCTGAGACTTTTATAAACAAAGAACTCCTAAAATAATACAATTTCTGAAAACTGACACAGAACAAAATATAAAATCTAAATTACTCAGTATCCAGTTAAGAAAACACATGTGTAATTAAAAACCCTTCTCAAAAGAGAACCTTAGGCTCTATTGGCATCCGCAGTAAATATTTCCAACATAAAAAGTAACACCAAACTTATAGAAACTCTTTCAGAGCACAGAACAAGACACATTTCCCAACATATAAGGTGAATAACCTTGAGATGAAAATCTGACAAAAGCATTGTAAGAAAGCGTAATTATAGGATAATCTCTCTCATGACTACAGATATAGAAATTTTCAAGAAATTATTAGCCAAAAGAATTTCCAGAACTAAGGTACGAATGTCGCCACTTTCCCAATACCAACAATAAACAAGTAGAAGTTAAAATTTAAAACACAGTACCATTTACATTAAGATCCCACAAAATGAAATATTTAGGTATAAATCTAACGTAATATGTGCAAGATCTATTTGAAGAATACTATAAAAATCTGATAAAAGTAATGAAAGAACTAAATAAATAGAGAGACAGTCTATGTTCATGGATAGGAAGATTAAATATTGTCAAGATGTCAGTTCTTCCAAACTTGATCTATAGATTCAATTTAATCCAAATCAAGATCCCAGCAAGTTATTTTGTGTAGATTGAGAAACTGATTCTAATTTTAATATGGAGATGCAAAAGACTGAGAATAGCCAACTCAATGTTGAAAAAGAAAAAAGTTGGAAAACTGGCACTTCCCAACTTCAAGATTTGCCATAAAGCTACAGTAATCAAGACCATGTGGTATTCATGACAGAATAGACAAATAGATAAATGGAACAGAACAGACAGCCTCAAAGTAGACCTACGCAAATATGGTTAACTGATCTATGAAAAAGGAAAATAGGTGATACAATGGAGAAAAGATAATCTTTTCAAAAAATGGTGCTGAAATAACTAGACATCTATGTGTTCTCAAAATGAAAATCTAAGACTAATTCTAACAAGACTACATGAAAAAGAGAAAACATTATTAAGATAAATTAAAGGAGCTACATATTTTCTGTGTTCAACTTCATAGAGATACACCCATAATATGCATATAAATAAAATTCCATAACTTTTTTCTGTCTTCCCTGTTGCCTAAAACGTTTCAAAGTCAGACTTATCTTCAATATATGTAGTCATATTTAGTGATGATCTTTCTGATTCAAATTTCAGTAACTTCCTTGGACAAATAAATTAACCTTTCAAAGTCAGACTTATCTTAAATGTATGTAGTCATATTTAGTGATGATCTTTCTGATTCAGACTTCAATAACTTCCTTGGACAAATAAATTAACCTATACAATTTAAAAATATCTTTATCCCTAATTATTCTTTTTGCTGCTGAGGTAATTTCATCTTTAAGATTTCCACACTAAATGCAAAGCCTCTTGTGAGGGTGAAATATCAAGCTATATTTTGCTAATACCTCAGATAACAGGAAAGTACAATGAGAATAGGTTGGGGTGCAGGAAAGGAAGAATACAAGAGAGAGGAGGGGTTTAAAGACAAATGTTTAATAATGCTTTACAAACCCTGCTAGCACCATACAGATCGTTTAATTAAAATTAATTCTCACTTATTACAGTTAAGAATAAAGAAAGGAATACTTATTTACTAAGGTAAGTTTCTTAGAGGAAAAAAAAGGCTACTATAGAGATCATGCTTTTTTTTGAATGATCAAATTCTGTTTTCCTCTACAGCCCCATTCTTGACCCACAAATCAGTTCTACTGCCTTCTTCTGAATATCATGAATATTATTAATATAAAACTGTAACTTAGTCAATTTTGTTTTCTGCAACACCTACACATTTCAGTATTTAAGACATGTATTATGTTATAGGCTATACATTCCACAGTCCCAAAGTAGGAACTATCATGTTTTTCAGTGTCATTCTTTGTGGGATATAATTGTTATAACGTTAAATTGTAGACACTCAGAAACCATGCCTCTGGTCATATTCTTGAAACTTCTCAGAGATTTCAATATCTGAAGATTAGAAAAGAATCTACATATATATCAAGTCTAACCCCATCATATTACAGATGAGAAAACTGGGGTTTCCTCTTCTAAAAGCACAAAGTTATAAATGATGAAGAGCCTATAATCCTGCCTCACTGGCCCCATCCTTGAAGTGTTCTTTTGTGGTGAATAAAAATCATTCATTTTTTTTTCTCGTCTTTGCCAAGTGAATGTTTCATTGTTCAACTGAGCTGACAGAACAGATGAAGGCAAAAGAGGCAATACTCAGGAGCACAGTTACTGATAAATAATTACAACAAGGACATTATAATTATTTAATTAAAATCTGCGCATGGGGAGAGATTATGAGTCTTTCAGCTTGCTACCTCATTTAGATGATACTAGTCATTAACCAGTTTAGCTGGAGTCAGCGCCTAAATGTCCACATGCTCCAATTTATCTTTGAAACCTGTGCAGTCAGCAGCCATGGCTGCATGCTCTGTATCCTGCTGCTGGTGCACACAGGCACACTCTCTAATAGCTTAAGAGACACTTGAATGTCTTACCTCCCCATAGCCATCTCATAAACCTTCTCTGGAATTCTGAAGATTTTCCTTTGAAACAGTGCCCAGAATTTTTGGAGAAATTTACTCTTATTAAGAACACAGTAAAACTTCTGTGAAAAAAAAAAAAAAAAAGAAATTAACAGAATCAGGTTAGTTTGAAGTTGTCTCTAAAAAGGTTTCTTTTCTGATGCATTGAAAGGCACATGTTTAAGAAAAAGGAATCACCTATATGGTAGTTCTATGCCACCAATCCCAAAGAAAATTCTGTGGTAAAACTCTGGGGTATCAGTATTTGGATGCCCACATGGAAATTAAAGTTCCTGTTCTTCAACTGTTTCCATTAAAAGAAAGAAAAGAAAAAAGGGAACTTTATTCTTATCACCGATGAGACTGCTGGGACAAAGGAGATAAGGGGGGAAAGCATTGATATTAATTTGTTATTGGATCTCTCTCTTGCTTTCTCTTTCTTTATTTATTTTGGTTTTACTTTGATAAGTCATTTGTTTTACTCTGCCTCGGCCCAATTCTGGAGATACATTTCTAAAAATGTAACAAATTACTCTGTTTCTAAAATCAGCTTGAAGTAGGACACCTTGCAAATCAATAAGTCCCACAGGCACAGTACCTAAGAAAAATAAGACAACTAGAACTGTAGTCAAGTAGAAGTTTTAATAAAAATTTAAAATGTGATTTTTGGACCCTTCTTGGATCCTTGAAAATGTAATATGATGCGACCACCCAAATTGGTAATTCATCTCTGGGAACTTGAGAATGAATAGCAGTTTTGCAATTGTATGCAATCTAAAGAAGTTATGTAGACAAGGGTCTTAGGTCTTTTAAGGCCTCCCCATAATATAAATTTCATGAATCCTAAATGTTGCAAATATGGTGAAAAATACTAAAAACAAATATGCCAATACTTTTTTGGGATGCTTAATTTATCCGAACCACTTTGTTGGCATAGAAGAGGAATATGTTGTCCATCTAGGAGAAATTAGATCTGGACTAAGTAGAAAGGCGTCAGACTTTTAGGGTCCATTTGATCTATTTTAATAGTCACTTATTGATACATAGGTTCATATGTCTTTCTCTGTACATTTCTTATATAAAAACCTACCTTCTCTCTTCGCTCTTATTAATATATCTTCTGCTACAGCAACTGTCCCTAGTTCCAGGAACCAATCTAGTTTCTGTCTTGGGGATTTAGCCTTTGTACTTCTCTCACCTGGAATATGCTCTTTTTTCAGACTTTCAAATTTCTAGCTCCTTTTTGTCATTTATTAGCTTAAACATTACCTCCTCAGAGAGGCATTTCCTTACCACCCCATTTAAAGTATGTAACCACCTCTTATTCTGCATCAAAACATCTTGTTTGTTATCTTTCTATCACTCATCAGTATTTTTAACTATATAAGCTTTTATTTTATTACTCATATATGCACTGTTTATCTGTGACTTTAAGCTCCACAAATAGAAATGCCATATTGGTCTTACCCATTTCTGTAGTACCATTATCTAACATAGTATATGAATGAATAAATGAATGAAACTCAAACAATTTAGAAGTATTAAACAGAAAGCTTCACTTAAGTAACTTTACTCCTTTTTTGTTTTCTCTTTTAATCTGAGAGAATTAAATTATTGACCAGTGGTTGAATATAATTGACAAGTATTGTCTAGATCTCAGTACATTACCATGTAACTTTCATCCTTATTCCTACGATATACTTTGTTTCTTTTGATTGTTTAGTATTTTTCTTCAGCAAATTTTATTTTATGTTTGACCACTTCTCTAATTGAATGATACGATTAAAATTTGAACACTGTCTCATAAAAACAATATAATACATTATTTTAATTTACCTTTATTTTTACTATTTCTTTGTTTTATTTGGATTTTTTTTTCTTTATTTTACTTGATCTCTATCATTTCCTTCAGTCTTCAACTGCTCTTCCAGCTCAAAATTCTCAAGTCAAGCTCTTTTTTGGTTCCATATGAACTTTAAAGCAGTTTTTTCCAATTCTGTGAAGAAACTCATTGGTAGCTTGATGGGGATGGCATTGAATCTATCTGTTGATCTGTCTAAAGTGACAGGGGAGTGTTGAAGTCCAATTATATTGTAATGAAGTCTAAGTCTCTTGTAAGTTCTAAAGGACTTGCTTTATGAACTGGGGCTCCTGTAATTGGGTGCATATACATAATTTAGATAGTTAGCTGTTTGATTGATCCCTTACCATTATGTAATGGCGCTTCTTTGTCTCTTTTGATCTTTGAGGTTTAAAAGTCTGAGTTTTATCAGAGACTAGTATTGGCAACCTTGCTTTTTTTTGTTCTTCATTTGCTTGGTAAACTTCCTCACATCCCTTTATCTTGAGCCTATTAATGTCTCTGCGTGATGGCGTCTCCTGAAAACAGGCAGACTGATGGTTGACTCTTTTCCTTGCCAGTCTGTATCTTTTAATTGGAGCATATTTAAGTCACATTCTTACATTTAAGGTTAATATTGATTATGTGTGAACTGATCCTGCCATTATGAATGATTAACGGTTATTTTGCTTGTTATTGAATTGCAGTTTCTTCCTAGCCTCGATGGTCTTTACATTTTGCATATTTTTGCAAATGGCTGGTACCGGCTTGATTCCTTTCCATGTTAAGTGCTTCCTTCAGGGTCTCTTGTAAGGCAGGCCTAGTGGTGACACAAATCAAGTCATTTGCTTATCTGTAAAAGGATTTACTTTCTCCTTCAACTAGAAACATTAGTTTGGGCTATGATATGAAATTCTGTTAAATGTTTTTCTACTAAGAATGTTGAGATATTGGCCCCACTGCTCGTGGCTGATAGAGTTTTCTTCCGAGGGCTGCTGTTAGTCTGATGGTCCTTCCCCTTTGTGGGTAAACCCGACCTTCTCTCTGACTGCCCTTATAGATTTTTTCCTTCATTTCAACTTTGGTGATCTGCTAATTATGTGTCTGCGGTTGCTCTTCTCGAGACGTATCCTTTGTGGCGTTCTATTGATTTGTCCTGGATTTGGAATGTAGCGACTTCCCTACTGAGGTTGGGAAGTTCTCCTGGATGATATCCTCGAAGAGTGTTTCTCCAACTATGTTCCATTTTCCCCTCACTTTCAGGCACCCAATCAGACGAGATTTGGTCCTGTTTACATCATCCCATACTCTCTTTTCAGGTTTTGTTCATTTCTTTTTTCTTCTTTTTTTCTTTTGGTTTCTCTTCTCGGTTTCATTTCAATTCATGTCTTGATCCTCACATGCTGATCACACTTTCCTTCCAGTTGATCGACGTCAGTTACTGAACAGTTCGTCCATTTGCACCATTTCTCGTGTCATGGTTTTCATCTCTTTCATTTTCGTTAGACTCTCTGCGTTAATTACTCTAGCCATCAATTCTTCCACTTTTTTCAAGATTTTTAGTTTCTTTGCCGCTGGTATCAGATTCCCTCGTTTAGCTTGAGAAGTTTGATGGACTGAAGCTTCGTTCATCTCCATCTCTTCAAACGTCATTCTCGTCAAGCTTGATCGTTGCTGGGGACGATGATTGCGCTCTTTGCCAGGGCAGATGCGTCTTATTTTTTTGAACAACACTTTCCAGCTTTTCTGCCTGCTTTTCTCCATCTTTGGGCTGGTTTATCTGCCTCTGGTCTTTGATATATGGTGACGTAACGCGATGGGGTTTTGGTTGTAGGTGTCCCTTCCTGTTTGATAGTTTTCCTCTAACAGCCAGGAACCCTCAGCTTAAGGGTCTACTTGAAGCCTTGAGGTCCCACTCAGACCCTGTTTTGCCTGGGTTTCAGCAGCAGAGCTGCAGAAGCATAGAATTTGCTGAACAGCGCGAGTGTACCTTCTGATCTTGCTTGGAAGGCTTCCTCTCAGGGTGTACTCCACCCTGTGAGGTGTGGGGTGTCAGACTGCCCCCTAGTTGGGGAAGTCCTCCCAGTAGGGCTACTCAGGGTCAGGCGACCAGCACTGTGAGCAGTGCAGTCTGTCCCTTCTCAGATCTCAACCTCCCCATGTTGGTGAGATCCACTGCTCTCTCAAAGCTGTCAGACAGAGTCCTTTTTGGCA